AACGGAGCGGCCGGCACACCCGCGCTGCGGGAACGAGCCCCAGGAGAGCCAGGGGGCGGAGGGGCGGAGCCTGGCACCTCGGCGTCTTCCTCTTTAGGTGAGGGAGGGGCCGGGAGAGGGGGTGGATCAGCTGGAGAAGCGGGAATAAAGGCAAGGGAGAGGCGAGCCGATGAGGACTTGCTGGGCTGGTTGAATGCATGGTGCGAGTGTGTGTAGGCAGAGAGAACGCACACAACTCAGTGAAGCAAACCAGACCCAGGGCGGGCGAAGGAAGTGAAGAAACCTCCTGACAGCCCCGCATCTGAGGCAAGCCCCCTTTCAACTCTACAAAGCTTTCCCTGTTTCTACGCTGCTGATACATCGAGCGCCCCCACGGCTGGGTTATCGCCTGAAGCCACGGCAACGGGAGGGCAACCTGAGCGGGCGACGCAGGGGCGCCACAGCCCGGCCCAAGAAGTTCTCATTTATGTCAGATCCGGCCCTCATAACAAATGAGTTTGACACCCTGGTGTAGATGGACACCACTTGTGACCACCTTCTTTGACAAACTAGATTCCTCACAAGTAAATCAGGTTACCGCAGCTGAAATGGTAGAAGCATACCACAGTGTTATGCACCATCATAGTTATGCAAGTCAATACTGCACAAATAAACTGCTGCCAAGAATGTTGCCTCATTCTGGCATAGCAAGAAAGATGTCATGTGGTTGGACAAAAGCCACCAGCATTGTAGAGAACATTTTGGCACTAAAATCCATAGAATTGTGGCTGGAGGACTTGGATGCCACACACTTTTTCTCAATAGGATGTGGCACCTCCAACGAGGGAAACAGGAGGTGTTTCCTGTGACTGTTCACTATTTTTCTGTAATGCAGGGAATTAAAGAAGGATTGCTTGACTTCTATAATGACAAGGAGGAGACCAGTGAGGCAATTACAGCACAGCTCTCCAGTGTGCTACAAGACAATGGTCTCAGTTTGGACAGAGTGGCATCTTACATTGCTGACAATGCTGCAGTGTATTTTTGGGAAACACAAGCCAGTGTTTCAAAAACTCCAGCAGCTTAACAGGTGACGGATAGATGTGGGCTGCAAATGCCATGTACTTCACAACCAATGTTCCCTCTAAGCCGTGAAGTCTTGTGAGCAAAAGTTCTACTTTGTGAGCTCCTGGCATTCAAGTTGTGAGTGAGCGATTTGGCTGCTGCATGAATCAGTTTGCTCTGGAGCCCTCCTTCCTGAGCCGAGACAAAAATGTGTGAGCCGGAGGCTAAAAAACTATGAGCTAGCTCACACTAACTCAGCTTAGAGGGAACCCTGTTCACAACTGCTGTGAAATGGGAAGAGAGCACTGAGTTTTAATGTAGAAGTCTTTGTCACACAAATATGCAGTATGCTCAGCCAAAAGTACAGAGTCCTTGAGGTCCTTCTTTGAGTTTGTAGATACAGAGTATAGAGATCTGATTCGGCATGGTCCAGCGTGGTGGTTGTCAGTTATGCCTGCTGTTGAACGGGTTCTTCAGTGCTGGCCTGCGCTGAGGGCATACTTCCTGTCATGTGGGGCAGAAGAATGTGAAAAAATTGTGTGGGAAGGACTCCGTCCAGAAGAGGACCCATCTCTTCCACTGTGTTAGATGTACTTCTTACACAATTTGACGGCATTGTTCAATCCCATTGCGAAAAACTTGAAAGTGTTAATGTTAGTTGCACAGAACTCCACAAAATCCTGGATGACTTCTGTGAAAAACCTAAGGAGAGGCAACAGAAACAGTTCCGTGGAAGACCTGCTACGGCCATTTTAGTCAACATCTCTGCATCTCAAAGGGCAAAATTCCAAACAGAAGCAGACCAGACACTCTCAAGGTGCCCTGACTACCTTGAGAAATGGAATAATTTTGACAAGACGTGGCACTGCTCTCGCTTGACAGTCCTGTGATGTGGGATCCATTAGAGAGTCCTGTCAAAGCCCTCAATTTTGGTCCTGATGTAATAGACATTGACAAGCTGTTCGACGATTTCTGCATTGTGTCAGAATGCCAAAGAGAGATCTTCTCATACGAAGAGAAGATAGACCAGAGTTGGTTAAAGATGTTCAGGCGCATTCCATACACTGGGGACAGCCATCTGTTGAAGTTGGTCTCTTTTGCACTGTCTACCCCTGTCTCCAGTGCCTACTGTGATAGGGTCTTCAACTTAATGATGCAGCTCTGGAGCAAGGAAAGAAACCGGCTGAGTGATAGCCTTGTCAAAGCAGAACTCCAAGTGAAACTGAATTTCAGGATGCCCTGTGAAGAATTCTGTGAGTTTATAAAGTCAAGACCAGAAATGCTGAAATCAGCAAGAAGCCCAAGATAAATATCACTTTCTTTCCCCAAAGCAGAAAGCAGTATAACCATGAGAGTTTGCTAACTACAAGTCCTTCAGCTGTCCCCCTGAAGGATGATCTTCAGGCTGCACTATAGACCTTGCGTATTCCAACAACCCAAACTCCACGCCCCCCAGGCTCCACCCCTAAATCTTCAGGAATTCCCTAAACCTGTGTTTATACATTTTTAGCCCACCTTCCTTCCCAGTGGAGGGAAGCTTACATCATTCTTTTCTGTCCCATTTTATCGGCACAGCAAGGATGTGAAGTTGGTTCGGCTGAGAGTGTGTGACTGGCCTGAGGTCTCCCAGTGAGCTTCCATGGCAGAGTGGGGGATTCGAACCTGGGTCTCCCAGATCCTAATCCGACACCCTAAACACTGCACTGTGTCAGGTCTAAGTGTACTTCCAGTGGGAAGTTTTTCCTAGGGAAAAGGATGGATTGACGGAGAGAGGGCTTTTTACCCTGCTTGCTTGTTTGTGTGAATGTTTGTATGCAGATTTGATGCCTGCCTTAAGTTCATGGGACGGTCATTGCGTACGTGGTGCACAGCTTCCACAGCAGAGTGGGGATTCAGTCCTGAGTCTCTCACATCCTAGTCTGACACCACACTGGCTGTCAGGAAGCTTACTGGTTGAGAGCCAGCATCGGGTAGTTGTTAAGAGCAATGGACTCTAGAACCAGGCCCTCCTCCACAGGAAGCCTGCTGGGCCAGTAGGGATGCCAACCTCCGGGAGGGACCTTGAGATCCCTCAGAATTCAGCTCATCTCCACACTACAGAGATCAGTTCCCCTGGAGAAAATCACAGAATCACAGTGTTGGAAGGGGCCATACAGCCAGTTTGGTGTAGTGGTTAAGTGCGCGGACTCTAATCTGGGAGAACCGGGTTTGATTCCCCACTCCTCCACTTGCACCTGCTGATGTGACCTTGGGTCAGTCACAAGCTCTGGCACAGCTGTCCTGGAAAAAGAGCAGTTTGTGTCAGAGTTCTCTCAGCCCCCACCCACCTCACAGGGTGTCTGTTGTGGGGAGGGGAAGGGAAAGCAGTTTGTAAGCCGCTCTGAGACTCCGAGTGAAGGGTGGGGTATAAATCCAATCTCTTCTTCTTCTCTCTTCTTCTTCATCTAGTCCAGCCCCCTGCCCAATGCAGGATCAGCCTAGAGCATTCCTGACAAGTCTTTGTCCAGCCTCTGCTTAAAGACTGCCAGTGAGGGGGAGCTCACCACCTCCCTAGGCAGCTGATCCCACTGTTGCACAACTCTTACTGTCAAAAGGTTTTTCCTAAGATCCAGCCGATACCTTCCCGCCCCTTGCGAGACCTATCCTCTGCTCCCAACAGGAACAGCTCCCTGCCCTCCTGCCCTAGTCCAGCCCTTCAGATACTTCAAGAGAGCAATCATTGCCCCTCTCAGCCTCCTCTTCTCCAGACTGAACACTCCCAAGTCCCTCAGTCTTCCTCAGAGGGCTTGGTCTCCAGGCCCCTGATCATCCTCGTTGCTCTCCTCTGCACCCACTCCATTATGTCCACATCCTTTTTGAAGTGAGGTCTCCAGAACTGCACACGATGGATCCTTTGGAGGGTGGACTCTATGGCACTGTACCCCAGGTCCCTGACTTCCCCAGGCTACATTTCCAAATATCCAGGAGTTCCCCTATCTGGATCTGGCCACCCTCCCCCTCCATCCCCCACCGGTGGCCATGGAGGACCTGTGGAAACCCTAGCTGGGTGACCTTGGGCCAGTCAGAACTCTCTCTGCCCCACATACCTCACAAGATTGTAAACTGCTTCGAGACTCCTTAATTTAGAGAAAAGCGGGACATAAAACTCTGCTGCTTGATCTTGGGCTCGTCCTTTTCTCTCAGCCTAATCCGTTCCATTTTACAGGGCTCTCGTGAGGACAAAATAGAGGATGGGAGAGAGCCGTGTACAGCAACCTGACTTCGTTGGAGAAGCGGCGGGATGAGAATAAGAACAAAAGAACATAAGAGATGCCAATGTTGGATCAGGCCAAAGGCCCATCCAGTCCAACACTCTGTATCACACAGTGGCCAGAAATACCAGTGCCATCAGGAGGTCCACCAGTGGGGCCAGAATGCAAGAGGCAGATGCACTGAGGTGCTTTGTGAAAGAGGAGAGCCATTCGGAGCAAGGCCTCCATTCGGATCCCCCCACCCTCCTGCCATTGCAGCAGCTGAGGTTGCCAGATGAACAGGTGAAAAACATATGTCATGTCCCTTAATAGAGGTTTAATGAACGGCAATGGCTTTTCATGGCACAAAGTTAATTAACATCATCTGCTAATCGCTTGCTGCTCAGAATGATATTAAAAGGACAGCTAGAGGGACCTGTTTAAAAGCTGGCAACCCTAGCCAGCCCCAGAGATCCACCCCTCCTCCATTTTATCCTCACATCAACCCTGAGAGATATCCCAGCATCCTTTCCAAGAATCTCAGCCACCATGAGCCTCTAGGTGGGCCACCGGAAACTGGCCCACTTGGGCTGCAGTTTACCATTTACTCTATGGTGCCTGCTCATCTTCTTAACATACTAAGTTAAAAGCTGGCTAGCCGTGCACCAGCAGCCAGCGTGGTCTCAGTGTTGCCAATCTCCAGGTGGTGGCTGGAGATCTCATGGAATTCTGACTGGTCTCCAAGCTATGGAGATTCATTCCTCTGTGTCAGGACCCACAGCAAAACAACGAAGTACACGCTTCCAGGAAGGTTTTACTTTTATTGAAAAGCCATAGATGCAATAACATGAACGCTGTTAGGAATGGCGGGCTACCTGTGCGCATAATAGGATATAGGGCATTCGTATGCGCCCCCCCCCAGCAATACCCAATTAGGTGGACTCCCGCGCGCGGGAGATGGCAAGACTCTCTAACGGTTGCGAAGCTGGGAACGAAGAAGCTCCCACGGAAGGTAGACACCACAATCTCCTCCAGTAACACTTTACAGATAAGCGTTGCAGCTGTGAAGCAATTAAGCGCATGGGAAGGAATGCAAAGCAATTAGAAAACATCTCCACACCCATGGCAGCTTAGCTGACACGCTGGAGAAAATGGCTGTTTTAGAAGGTGGCCTCTATGGCATTAAACTCGGCTGAGGCCCCTCCCCTCCCCAAACTCCACCCTTCCTAGCTCTACCCCCCAAATCTCCAGGAATTTCCCAACCTGGAGCCTGCAACACTATGTGCTGTGTAGGGTCGCCAGCTCTGGGTTGGGAAATTCCTGGAGATTTGGAGGGTGGAGTTTGAGGGGTGGTGGGGCTTAGGGAGGAGAGGGATCTCAGCAGTTTATCACACCAAAGATCCCTCCGTCTAAAGCAGCTGTTTCCTCCAGGGGAACTGCTCTCTGAAGTCTGGAGATCAGATGTAATTCCAGAAGATCTCCAGGCCCCACCTGGAAGCTGGCAACTCTAGCTGTATGTGAGGAGGGCTGGGGAGGTGGCGTCAGACCACTTAATCCCCCTATCCGTACATGGTTTCAGTCAACAGTGCATCAAGGAACCATGACTAATAGGATCCTTTCCCATCCCACCCCATGTGAAACAAGGACACAAATATTGACACGAGAGCTCAGCAAACTCTTGGGCCCGGTTCTGACAAATGTTAGACCAAGAGGTGTGGTATTGTTGGGTGGCAGGGGAAGGACAGGGAGGCTGGAGGAAGGGGGAAAGGGAGGTGGACAGAGGAAATGAAGCAGGCTTCGGAAGAGGCTTATCTCTCCCTCGGGTTGCAGGTCTCCCCCGGCCACCGGCAGGTGGTGGCTGGGTTAGGGTTGCCAGCCTCCAGGTGGGGCCTGGGGATCTCCCGCTTTTACAGCTGATCTCCAGCTGACAGAGATCAGCTCCCCTGGAGAAAATGGCTGCATTGAAGGGTGGACTCTATGGCATTGTACCACGCTGAGGCTCCACCCCTCCCCTCCCCAAACGCCGCCCTCTCCCAGATCCACCCCCAAAAGTCTCCAGGTATTTTCCAACCTTGACCTGGCAACCCTAGGCTGGGTAGGGTTGCCAGATCCAGGTGGACAAATTCTTGGAGCATCAGGGCTGAAGCCTGGGGGAGTCAGGGACCTGAGTGTGCTACAATCCCACAGAGTCCCCTCTCCAAAGCATCCATTTTCTCCAGGAGAAGAACAGATCTCTGTAGTCTGCAGATAAGGTGTGATTCTGGAGGGAATCCCCAGGTCCAATGCTCCCTCTAGGTCATGGAGTCTTGTGAGCAAAAACTCTACTTTGTGAGCCACTGGCATTCAAGTTGTGAGCGAGCAATTGGGCTACTGCATCAATTAGTGAGCTCTGGAGCCATCCTTCCTGAGCTAAGACAAAGAAGTGAGAGCCGGAGGCTAAAAAAACTGTGAGCGAGCTCACACTAACACACCTTAGAGGGAACACTGCGGGTCCCACCTGGAGGCTGGCATCCCTAGCTGGAGATTTGGTGGGTGGAGCCTGGGGAGGGCAGGGACCTCAGTGGGGTACAATGCCATAGAGCCCACCCTCCAAAGCATCCATTTTCTCCAGGGGAACTGTTTTCTGTAGCCTGGAGATGAACTGTAATTCCAGGGGGGATCGCCAGGTTCTCCTTGGAGGCTGGCATACCCTCCAGCTGCATACAATGACCAAAACATGGCCTGGCTTGGGGGTTGCTACTAGAGTTGCCAACTCTGGACTGGAAAATTCCAAGTGATTTGCAGATGGAACCTAGGGAGGTCAGGGTTGAGGGAGAGGAGAGACCTCAGCAGGGTATAATGCCATGGAGTCTGCCTTCCAAAGCAGCCATTTCTCCAGGGCGACTGGACTCTGTCATCTGGAGACGGTCCCCCCCCCAGTTGCTGGGGGGGGGGAACACACCTGACAACCCTAAGATCAGTTGTAATTCCAGGAGATCTGCAGGCCTCACCTGGAGGCTGGCAAAACCTAGAGGCTTGCACAA